GTACTGCAAAAATTTTGAAGATATAAACAATGAATATCCCTGGCTAGGAGACTGGAAGAGGACGGAGTCCTGAAATTTTTTATGTGTTAACATATGCAGTTTGTTTGGCGTTACTGGCTCATCACCGTGGAGAGGAACATAATCCAAATTTTGATAATTAATGAAAACACACTGGAAATAGCGCCATTTAGATCTCCCAAATAAGCAAGCCTGTATGTGTACGGTGACTTGGTAGCCTGCCTGTGTTTCATCCCTGAGCTGTAAACACAGATGGCAGAATCGGCGCGAAGTGGGGCTTCAGTCCGCTTAAGTTTCAGAGTGTTTCTGCAGAATTTTGCCGACAAAAAAAGGTGCATAAATAAGGAGACCGTACTGGATAATAGGTCTTCAGTGATCTTCATCAAATCTTCATAATCCGCGTAGGCCATATAGAACTCGCAGGACGTGAATTCGGGATTGTGCGTTTGATCAATACTCTCATTACGGAACACACGTCCAATTTCGTAGACACGATCAATCCCACCCACAACGAGCATCTGAAAGAAAAAATTAGTTAAAAAATTCATTATGTTTGCTTCCAAATCTCTATAAGAAGTAAAAGAGAGTGTATATGAAAAGCAATTAGTGCTGGTAGTAGGCGGATTCAAGGGAGGAGGAGAGGAGGGAAGAACGGAGGGGGAGGGAGAGCGACAGGCCTTTCGAGCAGCACAGATACAAGTACTACAAAACTCAGGGTCTAAAGCTAAAACTAAAGAAAACTTTCTTCCGTACTCCCCGTTACCTCCCCCGGAGGCTCACCCTCTCCCTTCCTCCTCTCCACCCTCCCGCTCGTTGCCGGTAGAAGCCCCATCCCGCTCTTCCCTACCCTGCCCGTCCTGGATTCGCTTATGTTGCTGGTAAAGCTAATAACAAATTTGTAATTTCAAAGTTAATACGAAAAACTGATGCATTTTTAGGTAAACAATACAGTGATTCAGCTGTTTAGCCAATTTTTTGTGCCTTTAAAGCCAAATTCAGCTCATTCTCGCACTTAATTCTTGGCATATCCAACATGCTAAACCGAAGTTCGAGTATGTGACAAAATGTCAGAATCGCCAAAGAAACACAGCGTAGTAGCCCCACAAGTGCTGCTTTCGGATCGCGGGCCACAAAATTAAAAGTTCAAACGCTGACAAAAGCATCTAATTAAGGGTATAAAAATCTCCCACCACAAGGTAATTTTTTTTAAGCTAAACACCACTGAAAATATCAGTAATGGAAAGTTATAATAGGAAAAGGATGGAAAAAAGAAAAAAAAAAGACGAAAATAAAAACGAGGAATGAAAATTAGAAAATTAGTGAGTCTATTATAATAGTAGGAAATGTCCCGGTCCATTAAATCGTATACATTTCTTACCATTACCACAATAGGTCCTCGTCAGTACGATGACTTAGGCAAACAAAGTTAGTGAAAGTTAAACTGTGTAACGCATGTTAGTAGTGAACAAAGTGTTATGAAAGACCTGTAGTAATAATAAAATTATTTAATTGGTTAATATGATGTAAAAGGTAAGATACCCTACCTTATGGTATAATTCGGGCGCTACTCGCAAAAACAGGTCCATGTTGAGATCGTTGTGATGCGTGATAAATGGTTTTGCCGTTGCTCCGCCAGCAATACGATTCATCATTGGGGTCTCAACCTCAACAGACACTCATATATTCCACAATAATAAATTTGTTATATAACAAAAAACCCATTTAAGAAGCCTAGAAATTCAAAAAAACAATCTCTTCCGTACTTCCAAGAATCCCAAGTTGTCAAAATAGCGCCTGACAAAACTGATCATCCGCGATCGTACCACAAATTTGTTTTTAACATCCGGATTCACTATCAGATCAAGATAACGCATCCGATATCTGCAATCACATAATATAAAAGTGCCTGCCAAACCAGATTCTCATCTCAATAAGTTAACTGATCTCCTTCAGGCAATCAACATGTTTCTTTGAGCATGACGAAATGGAGCACTGTATTGTTGGTAAACGTCTTAACTCTC